TTCAGGAGACGGGGCGGGGGGAGTGCTTCCCCCACCGATAATTATTTCTATTGCTTCCCTCCCCGTCCTTGTCACCACATCACCACCACTATCCGCGGCCTTCCCAAACAATCCGGGATGGAAATTGACAGAAATGATGAGCAGAAATGAAGCGAAAATGCATGGAAACGCACCCATTTCCTTGTTTCAATTTTAGCACGAAACAGAAATCAAACTGGCGTATTTATATACAAGAAATTTTATCTTCATTGCCCTTTAACCAAATTATAGCGAAAGAAAAAAACAAACAGGGATTAGAAAGGGGTGGTGCTGCTGTGTGCATCTTTTCCTCCCGTGTTCAGAAAAAGACTTACATCTTTCCCTGTAAATGATACAGCTAATTGTGTAGGAAAATGTTGGATTTGAATGTTCAAAAGATGTCCGCCGAATGTTCATCCAAGCAGAACCATTTGCTTTTTGAGGAAGATTTTGGAGCCAACTTTAGAAAAGTACAAGGAAAGAATAAGAAAATATCGAGGGCACTCAAAGCACCGTGCCCACATGAACATGAAGCAGATGCAACTTGTGTTCTACGGACAGAAGAAAATACAAAACCATTGCCTGTGCCCGATGACAGAGGGGTGAAGGGACAAAGCCTGTCATATCATTTCGAGCATCAACAGGTTTTTTTTTTTTGGCAATAATTATCAATAATTGAATGTAGTGACACGAACAAGATGGGCCAACAACTTTACCATAAGGTGAGCGTGACATCTCTCTCTCTCTTTTTGTTTAGAAATTCTTTTTGATAGGATATTATACATGAATCGTGGGACATTTCTATACTTTTCAGTTGAACATTACTTTTTATAGATTAAAATAATAGATATTTTTGAATTTATTTTTAAATTAAGACATTAGGAATAATTTTAAATTTTATTTATTTTACTTTTAAAAAATAAAAAATAAATAAATTTTATAATAGAATAAATAATTAAAATTAACAAATAATTATAAAGTTAAAGTTAATTAAATTCGCATCGACACTTAAGTGAATTAACTTTTTTTTTTTTTTTTTTTTTTTTTTAAGTTTCAAGAGAAAAATGAACGAAAGAAGGTTGAAGGAATGAGAATTACCTTCTATGGGTTGTTGTAGTGCCTTTATATATAGTCAATGTTGAGCTGAATTTTTCTTATCACAACTAGAGGCGCAACGCCAGAGTGCAGAGTTGGGGTGCAATGCGAAGGTGTGTTCAACTAGTGGCAAGGCAGCCAGGCCATTAGGATGTGTGGCTTTGTTGATAGACCAATGAGATTAAACCGTTCTGCATATTACTTCTTATAAGATACCTCGATTTTATGTCAGCAAGATTGTGAATGTAAATCACATGTTTGAGTCAGGCAACTGACTATTAAACAATCTGAATTGTAATTTGGGGAAAGGGGTAAGATATGAACACAATTAGCTAAGGTAGGGCTTGGATTGTAAATGGATATTAATTTGTGTATATTTTAGTTTAATACAATATTGAATAAATTCATTAAAAATTATTATTTTTTATATAAAATTATTAACAAATTAATTTAAAAATATAATCATACATAAATAATGTAAAAACTGATTAAATTGATTGTATTTATATTATATTTTAATAATTGAATTGAAACGAATGTAAAAAAATATGTTAAACTGAATATATACCAATTATTTTTTACTGTAAACAACTCTAGTCAGGCACTTGAAGTACTCAAGCTTGGCTAGTTCAGTAACGAGTCTAAAAATCAAGCTTATATATGTTCATGTAATTTACAAAACTATAACCTAACTCAAGCTTAACCTGAGCTCAAATAAAAATTATTGAACTCATATTCAGCTTGTGAGTAGCTAATTTTGCTTAATGAGCTTGAGATCGAGATAAAAATGTTTACAACTTAAACTTGGTTCTATTCACAGCTTGCCTATACATACCATCATGATTAATGAGCTTTCATATGGCCATCAACTTCACATGACTACATAACCCTAAATTTCACATGATTAGTTACTAAAATAAAATAAAATAAAATAAAATTGATCACTACTAAAACACCAGTACTAACATGATGAAGAAAGCGACCAATTTGATTTTTCCAAGGTAGAAGAAAACAAATACCGTACACCATTACATTGATATTTCTCACATGTGGTGTGGTGTGGGATGCCCGAATCAAATCCAAAGCTAGAGTAATGCAAATTCAAGGCCATGTGCACCTGCCAGAATATTTCAGCATAAAGAATTGGTTCACAGTTATGGGTGGAAAAGTCGCGAGTCCGCCTGATGGAGATGGCATTTCAACGTATTCCTAAGGAAAAATGCCAAAGGCTTCATTTTTCTTTCAACTAACCAATAATACATCGAAAGTGAAGAATTTAGTTTAAAAAATATGTGTGTAGTCAAGGTGCGTGCAAGCAGGATTGGAAAAAAAGTGGTAGTTGTTACTCAAATTAGAAAATTTTAAAATGAGATTAATAGTTTATTAGTTTTAGGGGAGGAGTTCTCTCTTACTTTATTTTAATTTTTTTTATCATTCCATCCCTTTCTTTTATTCTTCTTTAAACTAAACAAGGGTTAAGATTAAGATCATTAATATTTTAAATTTTAAGAGTTTTTTAACTTATGTCCTAAAAGTACATTATTTACACATTTTTCTCATTAATTGTTATAGAAATATAAAAATAAGTCTAATTTTATTAACTGTTAAATTAAAATTATGTACATATTATTAGTGTTAATTAAAATTATGTATGTGTTATTAGTGTTGAAAATGAACTT